TTAGCTTGCCTACAGACTTGGGGAGGAGTGAATGGAATGCAGACTTCAGATAGCGAGCTGCCGGTCCGTGAGAACCAAGGACTGAGAACTACAGTAGTGGTCAAAATTGTGGAAACCTTTTGGGAAAAGTGCATTTTTGAGGTTTCATGGCTAATAACACCCCCCTTTTTGGGGGGAGTAGAACCATAAAATTATATATCAATGGAAAGATAATTTAAATCAAGTATATAATTGTTCAATTATCTGTACTGTATTCAATGAAAAGTTATAGCCAAATAACCAGAAAAAGGAAGCACAACTTGCTTTTGTTGATATTAGGTAGTGTTCCTTCATCTGATTGTAGCCAATGAGCATGAGTGTTTAGAGAGCCAATCAGGTGTCATCTTGTTTTGGCAATGAGCCAATCGGATCACAGTAGATTCAGTTATTGATGTCATGTATTGAAGCTGAGGACATTTGTCAGTGTGTTATGGGATCGCTATCAGGTTGATTGTTTTTTTGTGTGTTCTTTCATTTAGTGAGCTTGTAAAACGTAATAAAATTAAAGTAATGAGAAAAAGAGTTGACCTGTCGCCCAGAAAGCGATGTAAAATAATATTATTAAGTGAACAAGGCTACAGCTATAAAGAAATTTGAGGAAAAATTGGTGGAAACTTAACCAAAGGTGGCATTTCTACTGTACACTTTTCCCAAAAGGTTTTGACAATTTTGGCCACTACTGTAAATACTTTCTCTCATAAAATTTAATTGGATAATGTGACCTGCTGTACTGAGGGGAGGGAGACATCTATGCTTTTAATATACCGACTTAGGCGCCAATTAACTAGACCTGATTTTCCTTTCACCTGTGCTGAAATGACGTACTCAATAAAGTTGTGCATTACAGATTGGATCGTCTCAGCCGTGCTTACTTCATTGGGTTCATCAGTCAGAACCTCGACACACGGGATCTGGTGCTAAAGAAGCTCAGTCTCAATGCCTTCAAAAAAAGACCTTCTCTTACCTGACAAAGTGACAATAGTTGGATTATCCTGGGAGACCTTCCCAAAGAGTAGTTCCTGAGAGGAACTGAACAGATCTCCCCTTCCTTTGGGATGCCTTGTGATCATTTCCATCCATGGCTCCTCCACCTGAAAGACCAGTTGTCAGTTAGTATTAGAAGGCCCAATGAGATGTGATGCTGGCTACCATATTGCCTGCGTTCAAAAAGGAGTTGGGCCAATTCATGAGTATCAATACCTATTAGCCTTTATGGCAGTGTGACTGCCTCTGAAAGCCATCTGCTAGGAGAGTAGTGGGCTTCCTTGTGTGGTTGGCAGGCTACTGTGAGAAGAGATTGCTGGACTAGATGGGCCAGAGGTCCAATACAGCAGGCCACTGTTTTACATTTTTATTTATATCCTCTTTATGATGGACATAAAGGGCGGAATGGTGACTTAGCTGTCAAAACACTGGTTCAAGACTTGGGAAGAAAGAGAGTTAGAATAGCACTAGCAATAGCACTTAGACTTATATACCACTTCACAGAGCTTCACAGCCCTCTCTAAGCAGTTTACAGAGTCAGCCTATTGCCCCCCAACAATCTGGGTCCTCATTTTACCAACCTTGGAAGGATGAAAGGCTGAGTCAACTTTGAGCCAATGAGAATCAAATTGCCAAACTGCTGGCAGCTGGCAGTCAGCAGAAGTAGCCTGCAGTACTGCATTCCAACCACTGCGCCAACACGACTCTTACAAACACATAACAAACACATAACGGAAGATGTCTTATCCTCTGCCTTCAATTTGTGTGTGTGTGTGTGTGAGAGAGAGAGAGAGAGAGAGAGATAAAAATAGTCTGAGATTTCCCCTTCTCTGGAATTATCTGGTAGCGTAAACAGAACCATTTGCCTAAATAAAAAATCTCCTATTATACATTCAAAGAAAGATTGACTAGGCACTTAAGGAAGCACGGAGATTGCTAGACACATTATAATCCTGTTGCAGTTACAAGGATGAAATTCTCTCACCTGCTTCATGTCCAGCTCATTGTTTGCTGCTTGACTCAAAAGAAAGCCTTCAGCCAAAGCCACCGCCTGGGAACAGGACTCAGCTCTGCACTCCCTGACCCAGTTCTCCATCTCTGGAGGCAGGATGGCCAGGAACTGCTGCAGAACCACCAGATCCAGCATCTCAGCTTTGGTGCTCCTTTCTGGCTTCAGCCATTGATGGCAAAGCTGGTGGAGTTGGCTGCAAACTTTCCGGGGTCCCTTGTCCTCCTGGTAGCAGAAATTCTGGAAGCGCCAATGCTGAACATCTGAATTGATAGTGCTCTCATAAGGGGTCTCCTGGCTGGTTGTTTCCCAAAATTCTCTACTGTTTCCAGTTTGAATGGCAGGAGAGTCTTTTTCTGCTCTCAGTCCTGCTGACCTTTGCATATCTATTTTTATTGTTTCTGTTCTAACGCACCTCCAAGTAGAACCAAAAATTCCCTAGTCTACAGATCAATGTTTAGTCGCAATGTCCATATTTTACAGGAACAGATTTGGTTGTGATTTATTTTCGATTCTAGACAAGGAGTCACTTCAAAAGCAAATTAACAGAGTCGGCTCTCGGCGAGATGAGCGGCTTATATATTTCATAATAAATTTTAAAAAGCAAGTTAACATACTTGCCTATATTCCAAAGAAGGCAAATGACCAGCTGTCTGCAAGGAGTATAAATCCTTCCATTCCCCACCCTCCAGTCAGAGCTGAAGAGGCTTCTTGGATGAGAAGCAAAATGTCTTCAAAGAAAAACAAGAAAGTCCAGTTGCCTCGTAATAAAGCACCTTTGGGACATACATTTCAATCTGAACATGAACTGAAAAACAGAACAAAACAAAAATCAGAATAGGGGAGAAGTGCAGTCCTTGCAATCCAATTGCAAAGAATCATAATGCTCTTGCTTGGAGATCTTTGTCCCATCGGATCGTCTCATTAAAATCCCTCCAGAATGAAAATCCAGGAAGATCTGCAATCAACAGTCTTTTTTCAGTCTCTCTCCTCTCTTCCATGAAAATAAGCTGGTTTATTCAGCTACTTCTTACCGGCACTCTTGTGTTCTAGAAGGTTTTTGATAGAGGGGCTCCTCTCCACAAACTATTCTAAGATCCAAATCCAGCCTCTCCTCCAGGATTTCCAACAGAGAAGGATCCCCACCCCATTCCTAACACCTGATCCCTGGAGAAGGCTGGAGAGCCAGTCAGCCAACGCTCCTTCCCTTCAAGTACAAGTAGTCCTCGACTTACAACCATTCATTTAGTGACCGTTCAAAGTTACAACGGCACTGAAAAAAAGTGACATGATCATTTTTCACCCTTACGACCGTGGCAGCATCTGCACGGTCATGTGATTTACATTTGCACGCTTGACAACCGATTCACGTTTATGACAGTTGCAGCGTCCCAGGAGCCCCCCTTTGCGACCTTCGGAAAAGCAAAGTCAATGGGGAAGCCGGATTCACTTAACAACCGTGCTACTAACTTAACAACTGCAGGGATTCACTTAACCCTTGTGGCAAGCAAAAGCCATAAAGTGGGGCAAAACTTTCACTTAACACGTCTCGCTTAGCAACATAAATCCCGGGCTCCGTTGTGGTCGTAAATCGAGGACTACCTGGTATAAGCGGGGAAGACCCTTTCCAAGTTTGCTGGATCGCAGTCGGGGAGCTGCGGGTGAAGCCAGATAAGAGCTTTCCCTGCCTGATGGGGGCATCCCCTTCCTCCCCTTCTCCTACCGGGGGACAAAAGGGTCTCCCTTCTCCCCAGTCACCACCCCCTTCCCGGATTTCCAGCGATCTGAGGTTTCGTTTCCTCGCTTGTTGTTCCGGGATGAGCGACTGCAACTCGTTCGCGGATCCACGCTTGCCCTTTCCTTTCCAGGAAGGGAAGAAGGCCGAGCATAGCGCTTCTTCCTAGAGAGGCGAGACGCTCTAGGAAAGGATAACGTCCGAAGAGAGCTGAGCATGCGCCGTAGAGCTTTATTCATAAAGCTCGAGAGGAGACTGGAAGTGAAAGTCGCCTAAAGAAACCCCCCCCACCCTTGCCTCTCTAGGAAGAGGCGCTCTCTCACCCTCATCCCCAGGCGCCACCAGACAAAGAGGGCGAGGGGCTTCTCTTTGCCAGCAAAAATCGAGGAAGCCTGATTGCAAATGCCACCCCCCCCAAAAAAAGGGGGTTTACCAGGAAGGCTGGACTGTTGAGTGTTGGGAGGGGGATCCCTTTGCCCCCAGCGTGCAAAGAGGCGGGGAAGCATCATCCGCGTTGACTAACCTGCAAGATCCCCGGCTGGATCTCAGCAGCTGCAGCGATCCGGAGAGATTGGAAAGAGCCTGCGTCCTCGCTCCCCAAGTCACCCCATTCCTGATCCTGGAGGGTCCTAGAAGGGACTGGTGGGAATTCTGGATGTTGCGTTGCTCAAGACAGGAGACAAATGGACATTTGGATTGCGATTCTTTGTTGTTTTTTTCCCCCTCTTGGAATTGGGAAGAGGAAGGCATCTGATCTTGCCTGTGATGGCTCTTATGTGAAATAGTAAATCATAAAGGGAATGTTTATGAGGTTACTCTCTAATCTAGAGTTATTTTGATTTAAAGCTGAACTGTTACCAATTAAAGCGGAATTAAGGAGAAACTTCTAACGGTGAGGACAATTAACCAGTGGAACGACTTGCCTTCAGAAGAAGGTCCCGTCCAGCTCTGATTCTGATCAGACAAAAACATGAAGAACAGTTGGAGGAACTGGATATGGCTAGTCTAGAAAAAAGGAGGACTGGGGGGACATGATAGCAGTATTCCAATATTTGAAAGGCTGCCACAAAAAGGGGGGGGGTCAACCTCTTTTCCAAAGCACCTGAAGACAAGACAAGAAACAACGGATGGAAACTAATCAAGGAGAGAAGCAACCTGAAACTAAGGAGGAATTTCCTGACAGTTAGAACAATCAATCAGTGGAATAAACCTGCCTCCAGAAGTTATGAATGCTCCAACACTGGAAGTTTTTAAGAAGAGACTGGACAGTCACTTGTCTGGAATGGTATAGGGTCTCCTGTTGAGAAGGGGGTTGGACTAGAAGACCTCCAAGATCCCTTCCAACTCGGTTATTCTGTTATAGATGTTTATGCGGACCTGTTTTGCAAGGGAGGGGGAATTACTGCTGTTAAAATATGTCAATAGGCAACCGGGAGCCATGCTAATGGTATGCTGTCCAGGGCGATCAGATTAGAAGAACTCCAAGATCCCTTCCAGCTCTGTTCTAATTGATTGAAAGTCATTTTGTGGAGGCAGAAAACATTTACACTATTTTGAACTACACTTTACCAGGTAGAATGGAACTCCAGCGGTCTTCAGGGAGAGGAGTCGGTGAAGCCCAGGAACCTGTCATTTGGCCTGGAAGCAGAGGGGACTTTGGGGGAAGCAGCAGCCCAAGAGGCCTCCCTGTGGGGGCCCACAGCTCCGAGGCTGAGTGCCAGCACTTCCACAGCTGCCACCCCCGGGAGGCCGAGGGGCCCCGGGCACTCTGCAACCGCCTGCACCGTCTGTGCCGTGGGTGGCTGCGGCCCGAGTTGAGCGGCAAAGCCGAGATGCTGGACCTAGTGGTGCTGGAGCAGCTGCTGGCCCTGCTGCCCCTGGAGCTGGCGGGCTGGCTGCGGGAGTGCAGGGCGGAGAGCTGTGCCCAGGCGGTGGCCCTGGCTGAGGGCTTCCTGCTCGGCCCAGCTGCCTCCCAGGAGTTGGGAAAGTGGCAGGTGAGAGAATTTCATTATGGGAGCTTTCTAAGATGTAACAAGCAATGACCTGAATTCCTAAATTCTTTAAAGGCCTTGTCCGTCTTTTCTGCAACTATTCTCCTAGGTTCCTTTTTTTTTTTTTAAGATAAAAGGAAAAAAAGAAGTAATAGGTACATTGCACGGGGGCAAATTAGTAAAAAGAAGAATAAAAATTATACTAAAGACATTGATGCTATGATTTGGTGCTTAAAATGGAACTTAGCCTTGTTGTCAGTTGCGAAGTCGTGTCCGACCCATCGCGACCCCATGGACAACGTTCCTCCAGGCCTTCCTGTCCTCTACCATCTTCTGGAGTCCATTTAAGCTCATGCCTACTGCTTCAGTCACTCCATCCAGCCACCTCATTCTCTGTCGTCCCTTTCTTCTCTTGCCCTCAATCTTTCCCAGCATTAGGCCCTTCTCCAGTGAGTCCTTCCTTCTCATTAGGTGGCCAAAGTATTTTGAGTTTCAACTTCAGGATCTGGCCTTCTAAAGAGCAGTCAGGGAACTTAGCCTACATATCTGTAAATATGTAAAACTAAAAATTTAAATTTAATGAGCAGTTAGAGACTGGATGGAATACATTGCTCAAGTTGCCCTTCAGCGGCAGTCTTAATGTGCTTAGGATATGTGCCTTCCCCATAAAAGTATCACAATGTTGCTGTACCTTAACTGCCAGGCCAGTGGTCTCCCCATTGCAAGAGGCAACAGAAAACCAAGCTTGTCCTTAAATCTAAATCAAAATACTCCAGGTGGTAATAGCACTTACTTATATACCGCCCCATAGTGCTTTGCAGCACTCTCTGATCAGTTTACAATGTCAGCCTATTGCCCGCAGCAATCTGAATCCTCATTTTATTGACCTTGGAAGCCTTAGTCAACCTTGAGCCAGTCAGAATCGAACTTCTTGCGGTGAGCAGAGTTAGCCTGCAATACTGAATTCTAACCACTGCGCCCTCACGGCTCTAAACAGACCTAATTAAAACCACGAAGAAAGAAGGGCCACATCCTTGAAGAAACAAACCACAGTTGTCCTGTGGTTAGATGGGCTGCAAACAAATTTAATAAAGAAACAAAAGCAGAAGAGGAACTCGTAATCAGAATAAAAAGAGGAAATAATCAAAAGGGGCTCAGAGTCATGTAACAAAAGCAGCAGAGCGTTTAGCCAAATACAAAGAGGAATCATCAGCAGTTTGATTTGGGTTGGGGAGAAGGCAAGGCAAGGAAGCTGTTGCAGTCATGGTCATCAGAAAGTGGATCGTAAACCAGGCTGGTTTTTTTAGATGCAGGAATTGTTCGTGGAGGAGACCTCAGCAGGCTTCCAGGGAAGAGGAGATCAACCCGGTCCTTCTCAAGAGGTTTTCAGGAGGATCTCGCAAGAAGGCCCACCTCAAGTCACTTCCCCATGTAAGTGAAGGCATCTTCTGAAAGCCCAACCTCCTTCTATAGATGATCTGCTTTGGCCTTGAAATTCTAGGCCTGTCTCCTTTTGTTTATTGTGCATTCCCAGATCTTATTCACAGGCCCTACAATAATCTGTTTCCCCTCCCATTTCTCTCCTTAACAGGCCAGGGAAGAACATCCATGGAAACCCGTGAAATGGCACCTGTTTGTGATGGAGCAAAAGTAGCAGCTGTGCATCCACCTCAGGTAAGGGGTGGAATCCCAACAGGGGACTGTTTGGTATGGGGCGCAGTGCACAACCTGTTCCTCAGTAAAAGACGGCATGGAGGCCAAGCTTCAGTGACCTATTCATACTCAGTATAGTATACCCCCTTCAAGACTGTTGTTGAGCTACAAAGAGAAAATATACAAGCTGAGAGGCTGGTATTGTAATAAAGAAACGCAATTTATTGTTGAGAGAAATTAATGTTCTTTTTTTTTTTACTTTTACCTGAGGTAAATTAATACAGGTAATGAGGTAATGTCCCCCGCCTTATGACCACAGTTGAACCCAAAATTTCTATTAATAAGCAAAGCAGTTATTAAGATAGTTTTGCCCCATTTTACGACCTTTTTGCGGTGGTGGTTAAGTGAGTCGCTGCAGTTGTTAAGGGAATGACACCATCAATACGTGAATCCAGCTTCCCTCATTTACAAGGCCACACTTGGAATACTGCATCCAGTTTTGGTCACCTCGATGTAAAAAAGATGTTGAGACTCTAGAAAGAGTGCAGAGAAGAGCAACAAAAGATGATTAGAGGACTGGAGGCTAAAACATATAAGGAACGGCTGCTGGAATTGGGTATGTCTAGTTTAATGAAGAGAAGGACGAGGGGTGACATGATAACAGTGTTCCAATATCTCAGGGGCTGCCACAAAGAAGAGGGAGTCAAGCTATTCTCCAGAGCGCCTGAAGGCAGGACAAGAAGCAACGGATGGAAACTAAACAAGGAGAGAAGCAAACTAGAACTAAGGAGAAACTTCCTGACAGTGAGAACAATTAATCATTGGAACAGCCTGCCTCCAGGAGCGGTGAATGCCCCAACGCTGGAAGTTTTTAAGAGACTGGACATCCATTTGTCTGAAATGGTATAGGGTTCCCTAACTGAGCAGGGGGTTGGACTAGAGGTCCCTTCCAACTTTATTATTATTATTATTAGTAGTAGTAGTAGTAGTAGTATCTTTTATTCATTAAACATGAACCTCAGTCAACTGAACATTCAAATTGGCTGACGCTGATGGTTGACACGGGTTGCTACCAGCATCCTAGGTGTCAACCAGGTATCTCTTTAAAATATAAAATGTTCCGAGTAGTGCAGTTTTTTGTAACATTGCTGGTGTTATTGCAGGAAGCTGCAGTTTCTTGATGTATTTTGCAAAGTTTTTGGACATAGTTTTCAGTGCCCCGATGACAATGGGTACCACTGTTACACGTTTCATCCATAATCGCGCAGTTTCGATGGCCAGGTCACGATATTTCATCATTTTTTCCAGTTGTTGTAGTAGTTATTATTATTATTATGGATCATCGCACAGTCAGCCAGATGTTCAGACTGAATTTGGCATTTTATTACTACTACTACTGCTACTAGTAGTAGTAGTAGTACTACTACTACTACTATTATTATTATTATTATTATTGTTATTGTTATTATTATTATTTCTCATCACAAAATGGTATAGGGCTTCCTGCCTGAGCAGGGGGCTGGACGAGAAGACCTCCAAGGTTCCTTCCAACTCTTCTATTATTATTGTTGTTGTTGTTGTTACCACTTTGCTTGTCGGAAGCCAGCTGGGAAGGTTACAAATGGTGATCACACGATCCTGGGACAGTGCACATGTCAGTTGCCCAGGGCTGGAATTTTGATAATGTAACGCCATGGGGATGCTGCTACATCGTAGCTTCAGTCACTAAATGAATGGTTGTAAGTTGAAAATTACTCGGGGGTAGGATGAGAGTGCTTTGATGACACAGCAGATCAATCAATGAGTCATCTCCAGAAGTTGTGGGTGCTCCAACACAGGAGGGTCTGTAAGAAGAGATTGGGCAACTATTTGTCTGAAAAGATTTTTCTGGGTTGGACAAGAAGATGGTGCAAGGTCCCTTCCAACTCTGTTGTTTTGTTATTCTAAGAGCCTGGTTCAAATAGCAATATTTGCTCAGCAGTAACACAGAAGTAGTTTGGCAGTGCTGCATTCTGATATATATATATATATATATATATATATTGAATGTCCCAAACTAGCTTTGTTTTGCCCCATCCTCATACAACGAAGAGTTTCAGGCAACAAAACCTGAAACAATTTATTGAACAAAGCAAGTAAACACTTTTAACTACACATTAGAATATGGACAAGATAGATAGCGATAAAAAAAAGACAGGCAGATTAGTAGCTATATTAACAGTAGACATGTGTGAGGGTGAAGGTTCGTTCTCTGAGCTTGTGGGTTGGTTTCCGAACGTTTCGTTACCAGGCTAGGTAACAGCTTCGGCGTTTAAGGGGGATATCAATGTCAGGGTTCCTCTTCTGTATAAGGGCTTCAGGTGTGGATGTGTTGAGTGAGGGTCAGGTGTGAGTCATCAGTGAGAGGCTTGTGATGGTTCTTGTGATGGGGAGATTATATCAGGTGAGGATAATTGGGAGGTGAACTGCTGGAGGGAGGAGGGGGCTTGCGTGGTTGAGTATTCATCCTGTCTCTGGTTGGCTGTGCGGTTGATTTGAATTCTGAGGGGTTCATAGGCTGGTTGTAGGTCAGTGTGTCTGTTGATGGAATGGTTTGTGGAGTGCCAGGCTTTGATTAACCTGCGAGCGTGGCGGGTGGTAGTGTGGCTGGTGATTTTTTTAAAAAACTTTTATTAGATTTTCTAGGATTAGGGATAAAATGGGGTCAGGATTAGGGTTAGGGTTTAGGCTGGGGTTGGGGTTATCCCCCAGTAACATTTTCAATATTTAGCAAACCAAATATTGTCTGGGTACATATATTTAAATAACAATAATTAATATAATAATAGATAACAAAAGTAAATACAATTAGTTATAATAAACAGTATTAATTAAACAATCCATAACCTCCTTCTTACTAATATGTATTCAGAATTACATATCACATTCCTTTCTCATTCATTTTTCTAGCCATTGATAAAAGTTATCCCATGTTCTAAGGTAAACTGAGTCTTCTTTCTCTTTCGCCTCTAAAGTCAATCTATCCATTTCTGCACATTCTAAAATTTTCTTGATTAGTACTTCTTCAGTTGGTAAGTTTTCATTTTTCCAATACTGGGCAAATACAATTCTTGCTGCTGTTAATACATGTAGTATTAGATATCCGCTCTCCTTCTCATAGTTAGCTCCTATTATTCCTAACAAAAATAATTCTGGTTTAAAATCGATCTGTTTTTTAGTCATCTTCTCCAACCATACATGTATCTTAACCCAAAACCTTTTTGCTTTAGGGCATGTCCACCAGATGTGATAATAGGTACTTGGGCATGGCCAATGATTTTTGTGTTGCTCCAATCAAACTGGTGTTGTTTGATCTCAGTGTGGATAGAGATTAAGGATTGTGGCCTTTAACTGCCAGCTGGTGTTCATGGATCCTGGTTTCTAATTCACATAATGTTTGTCCCACGTAGAATTAGTTGTAATCGTTAACTGTTGAGATTAGACTGCTATTTTCTGGTATGGTCTAACCCCGGAAAGGGGCTGGGCTAAAACATCTATTTTAATCCTATAATTTTATTCTGTAATGAAATCAAATTTAATCAATAAGAAAAAACATAAAACAGTAGCAGAAATATAGAAGCCTATTCCCTTAAAAATCAACAACGTGAAGTACAGATTTCCTAAGTCAGTGGTTCTCAACCTTTTTAATGCCGCGACCCCCAACTGGTCGTAGGAGTCGAAGACTACTCAACCGGTCATAAGTCGAGGATTACTCAACTGGTGCAGCACCGTTTGCAGAATGGGACTTTTGGCGGGCTCAGCAGGGCAGAGACAGCCTGGACAATTCCTATTGGCTTTTGAAAGCCAATAGAATTAGACTCTATTCAAGAGAGTCTATTCTATTGGCTTTCAAAAGCCAATAGAATAAAAGGGAGTAGCACAGCTAAGGAAAAGGGGAAAAAAATGACTGCGTTGTTTGGCGACCCCTGTGAAATGGTCGTTCGACCCCAAATGGGGTCCCGACCCACAGGTTGAGAACCACTATCCTAAGTGGAAAAAAACTGCACTTAAATTGTTCCTGGGAATTGTCCGATACGTGATATTTTCTTCCACTTTCAGGGCTTCATATCCTGTGAGGAAGTGGCTGTGGACTTCACGGAGGAGGAATGGACGCTACTCAGTTGGAGCCAAAGAGCCTTGTGCAGAGAGGTCATGCTAGAGATTTCTCTGAATATGGCCGCTCTGGGTAAGACCCCTCTTTCCTCAATTCATTAGAGGTCTTTAGGGACGAGAAATCAAGGAACATATTTCTATGCATTGACCGAGGGTGGTGAGGACCTGGCCATCACATGAATTACCACTTTCCTAATCTCTAAAAATTAAACATGATCAAATGTGGTTGGTTCTAGGATGGGGAAATGGCTAAGACAGGGGTGGGCAACCTTGGCTCGTTTGTGACTCGTGGACTTGGCTAGCTCAGGAATTCTGGGAGTTGAAATCCACGAGTCACAAACGAGCCAAGGTTGCCTACCCCTGGGCTAAGATATCCAAAGTCTGTTGGCAAGGCCCACAAAGATAAAAACCGTCCAGGAAGAAGGTACCATAAGCCACTTGTCCATTGGCCAAGGAAACGACCTGTGTAAATCTGCGAAAACTACAAATAAGAACATTTTTTCTCCCCTATTTTATTTAGCTGGCTCAGGAATTCTGGGAGTTGAAGTCCATGAGTCATAAAAGAGCCAAGGTTGCCTACCCCTGGTCTAGTGGTTAAGGTACCAGACTAGAAACTAGGAGAGTGTAAATTCTAGTTCTGCCTTAGACACAAAAGCCCACTGGGTGACTTTGGGCCAGTCATTCTCTCCTAGTCCAATTCATTCCAGGTTTTTGTTGTGTGGAAAATAGGAGAAGGAAGCAATATCGTATGTGTATTCACTGCCTGGCTGGCTCAGGAATTCTGGGAGTTGAAGTCCACAAATCATAAAAGAGCCAAGGTTGCCTACCTCTACACTAGACCAAACTGGATGGACAGTGAATACTATTTATATGTTATTTATATGTAAGGATATAGGTCTGTACATATGTTGTATATAGTATGTTTTAAATGCATGCTTTGTATGTTTACACTTTGAGAGGAAGCAATGAAATTTCATTCTTAATGTGTGCCATTGTGCCCACAGGAAAAAAATGACAATAAAGGTTATCTAATCTAATTTCATGTACATTGTACTTTTACTGTATTGGTTAGATTAGCCCTTGTCCTCTGTTGCGTCATCTCCCAGAGTCCCGCTAAGTCACGGCTACTTAGGGGATCCTCTGTAAAAGGAGCCTTCCATCCTTCCGGGGTAGGTAAAATGAGGACCCAGATTGTTGGGGGCAATGTAAATATATATATATATACATTGCTTACTGGTGTACACCGCTTAGAGAGTGCTTGCACTTAAGGCGGTATATAAGTCTCATAAATAAATAAATAAAAATATTTTATTAATTTTCTATTTTTTTTTCAATCAAGTGCTTAATAGACACTGTGATGACTGAGTCCATTAGTAATTCCGTGGTAGAGGTAAGCTTCTTCATATTAAATCCAATATTACACCCTTCAATACATCCTCTCTTATTTATTTATTTATGAGACTTATATACCGCTTTAAGTGCAAGCACTTTCTAAGCGGTGTACACCAGTAAGCAATGTAGATATATATTTACATTGCCCCCAACAATCTGGGTCCTCATTTTTCCTACCTCGGAAGGATGGAAGGCTGAGTCAATCTTGAGCTGGTGAGATTTGAACCACTGACCTGCTGAACACAGTCAGCTAAAGTGGCCTGCAGTCCTGCACTCTAACTGCTGCGCCACCTCGGCTCTTGGCTCTTGGCTCTTCTTCTGGTAATAGACATTTTCCCACAATCCTTATACATTCTAACAGGAAGTTCTCTCTTCTTCTTTTTACAAGCAGGTGATAGGCAGAACAATGAGAATGACAAGCAGCCAAAGTTAGTACCACTGCAAACAGCCCAGTATGAAGCGGAAGTGATGTTTGGCCATCAAGGGGATCCAAAAAGCCGAGAGAAAAGCCACCCAGAAGATAGAGGAAAGAGGTCCCCCACTTCTCTCCCTTTTGAAATCCATCCATTCCAGATCCAGGAAGCTCAGATGGAAAACACCAACGGAAAATACGCAGGACGTGGCCAAAGAGAGAAAAATAAATTTAATTTGCATGAATATTGTAGAAGCCAGGCTAAAAGGAAGCAGTGTGGTTGCAGGCAATATGGAAAAAATGTTAATAGCTTCTTCCCTCTTGGCGCACCCAAAAAACTATACAGGAAACGCAAACCACATACATTTATCAAACTTGGGAGGGGTTTTAGTCTGAGCACGTATGGTTATTCCCGTGAAGAATTTCGCACAAAGGCGTGTAAGTGCGTGAAATGTGGAAAGAGCTTCAGTACAAATGGTAATCTCCGCCGCCATCAAATGATCCACACGGGCGAAAAGCCATATCAATGCGCGGAGTGTGGAAAGAGATTCATTGAGAACAGAGACCTCACTCGTCATAGAAGGATCCACACGGGAGAGAAGCCATATAACTGCCCAGAGTGTGGGAAGGCCTTCAGAACAAATGGTCATCTGACTCGCCATCAAATGGTCCATACAGGAGAAAAACCCTACAAATGCACAGAGTGCGGGAAGAGCTATATTGAAAACAGAGATCTTACTTGTCACAAAAGGATCCACACGGGAGAGAAACCATATAAGTGCAGAGCGTGTGGAAAGAGCTTTCCTCGGAACAGTGCCCTGATTGGCCATCAAAAAACCCACACTGGAGAGAAACCTTATAAATGCCTGGAATGCGAGAAGAACTTTATTAAGAAAGGACAACTCACTTCTCATCAAAGGATCCACACAGGTGAAAAGCCATATAAGTGTATGGAATGCGGGAAGAGCTTCAGTAGGAACAACAATCTTAGGTCCCATCAAAGGATCCACACAAGGGAGAAACCCTATGAATGCACAGAGTGTGGAAAGAGCTTTCTCTGTCACAGTGGCCTTTCTCGCCATCAGAGGAGACACACGGGGGAGAAACCCTATAAATGCACCGAGTGTGGGAGGACCTTCATTCAGAAAGGACAGCTTGTTTCCCATCAGAGGATCCATACAGGGGAGAAACCATATAAATGCACGGAGTGCGGAAAGACCTTCAGTAGCAAGAGCGCCATCGCCTACCATCAAAGAATCCACACCGGCGAGAAGCCCTACAAATGCACAGCCTGTGGGAAGACTTTTATTCAGGAAGGGCAGCTTGTTTCCCATCAGAGATTTCACACGGGGGAGAAGCCGTATAAATGCACGGAGTGTGGAAAGAGGTTCGGTAGTAGCAGTGCCGTTACCTATCATCAAAGAATCCACACCGGTGAGGAAGCCGAGCTTCGCACGTGAGGAAAGATCTTCAGGTAGAGCAATGGCCTCCCTTGCCATCACATGACCCAGACATAGAAGTGGGTGAGAGGAAGGCCGAGCATAAGTGAACTCTCCTCTCACTCCGCTTACACTCCATGCATGCCCAGATACGAGGAAGAGGAGGTCCTTTCATGGGATTACCCCAGTGGAGTTTGGTTGCCACAGTTGATGGCTAAAGGAATGCTGGAACTAAATATGGCGGCGTACCTCAGTAGATGGAAGAAGAAGAAGGAAGAACCACCGAGCTGTAGAAAGAGGTGAAAAGGGTGTGTGCAATTCGCAAAGTTATTTTTTAGCCATTCATCAGGCAGGAAAAGTCCATGGTAATGCTTTTGACATTTACCCCTATTTATGTGTGCCTTTAACAAAAGGGTAGGCAACCCTGGCTCTTTTATGACTCGTGGACTTCAACTCCCAGAATTCCTGAGCCAGCCATGAATTCTGGGAGTTGAAGTCCACGAGTCATAAAAGAATCAAGGTTGCCTACCCCTGCTTTAACATTTAATATAACCAGGGTAAATGAATTCCAAACTGCATGTCTCTCCTTCGGTCTACGTTGCCCAAATTATTTTTGTTCCCAATTTTGTACAGGTAACCCTCGTTTTAGCAGCCACAATTGAACCCAAAGCTTCTGTTGTTAAGTGAGACATTTGTTAAGTGGGTTTTGCCCCATTTTACGGCCTTTCTTGCCACCACGGTTGAGTGATTCGCTGCAGTTGCTAAGGTAGTAACCCGGTTGTTAAATAAATCTGATTTCCTCATTGACTTTGCTTCTCAGAAGGTCGCAAAAGGGGGATCACGTGACCTTGGGAGCCAACAACCGTCCTAAGTATGAGCTAGTTGCCCAGCGTCTGAATTTTGATCACATGATCAAGTGGATGCTATAAAGGTCATTAAGTGTGAACAGTCATAAGTCACTTTTTTACAGTGCCGTTGTAACTTTGCACGGTCACTAAATGAACTGTTGTACGTCAAGGACTAACTGGATAGATTTGTCAAATTCCATGACTGAATTTGATGATTTCTTGAACATGATGTGATGTATCCTTTGTCTAGGGCAGGGGTAGGCAACCTTGGCTCTTTTATGACTCGTGGACTTCAACTCTCAGAATTCCTGAGCCAGCCATGTTGAGGGGAAAGGGAGAGGTTTCCAAGCTGAGCCATGCTGATTCAGGAATTCTGGGAAGTCCATGAGTCATAAAGCGGCCTAGGCCTAGGTCAGAGATAGGTAACCTTGGCTCTTTTAGGACTCATGGACTTCAACTCCCAGAATTCCTGAGCTGAGGGGAAAGGGAGAGGTTTCCAAGCTGAGTTCGTGAGTCATAAAAGAGCCAAGGTTGCCTACCCCTGGTCTAGGGTAGGGATGTCAAACTGCCGGCCCAGGGGCTGGTTGCATCATACGCAGACCGCACCCACCCGAGCACCAGCAATGCAAAAAAAAAAAAGTCACGATATGTTGTGACATGTCATGTGACGCGGCGAGTTTGACACCTATGGTCTAGGGCAGGGATAGGCAACCTTGGCTCTTTTATGACTTGTGGACTTCAACTCCCAGAATTCCTGAGCCAGCCATGCTGAGGGGAAAGGGAGAGGTTTCCAAGCTGAGCCATGCTGGCTCAGGAATTCTGGGAGTTGAAGTCCACGAGTCATAAAAGAGCCAAGATTGCCTACCGCTGGTCTACTCTAGGGCACTTGAAAATCAGGTGCAGTGGTTAGGGATTTGGATTATAAGAGAAAGGATTTTCCTTCTGTTTTTTTTCCTCCTTCATTCAGATGTTTCTCCTCACTTTCTCCTCCCTTTTTTTCCATAGGGCTGTATTCCCATATAGGTAGTTCTCAATGTAGGATTTTCAATCGAGCCCAACATTCTGTTGCTAAGCAAGACAATTGTTGTGAGTTTTGCCCTGTTTTACGACCTTTCTTGCCACGGTTGTGAAGTGAATCCCTGCAGTTGTCAAATTAGTAACACAGTTGTCAAGGGAATCTGGCCTCCCCACTGACTTTGCTTGTGAGAAGGTCACAAAAAATGATCACGTGACTCCAGGACACTGCAAATGTCATAAATACAGGCCAATTGCCAAGCGTCTGAATTTTGATCACATGACCAATGGTCATAAGTGTGAAAAATGGCCGTAAGTCACTTTTTTCAGCGCCACTGTAACTTTGAACGGTCACTAAACAAGCAGTTATAAACCAAGAACTACGTGTCATAAGATTATCTATCAGGAAGAGAGCATCTTTAGCCCACTGTTAACTATCTATCTGTCTGTCTATCTATCTATCTATCTATCTATCTATCTATCTATCTATCTATCTATCTATCTATCTATCTATCCTTAATGGTTGTAAAAATACGAATCCCGGGCATATTTATTCAATGATGCACTTTTTGATCTCCGGGAAGAGTATAATCCAGTTATTTATTGTTAAAATAATATTTAAAACAATAAAAACAGTTATATACAAGGTTAAAACAACTTAGCTTTTGCTGGTCCTCTACCAGCGTCCTCAGAGTGGGGCTTAGGGGGTGGGAAAGTTTTTTTTATCCCCTTGCTGATCCAACTGCCTGCTCATTGCCCGCGTGACGGGGCCACTCTTCCTGATTGCCTGTAACTGCCTTAACTGTTCCGCCCTCTCTTTCCTGCACTCCAACTTTGCATTTTTCTGCTCTGTCATCCTTGTACCGCCTCCTCCTCTCTGCGCCGTTATTACCAACACGCTCTCCAATCCCTCCTCTCTACTCAATGCAAGGCACTCCCTCCGATTCGGCACCACACGTATCCTGCCACGGAGTTCCTCCTTTTTATTCTCCCTGTTAGACTGCTGGTCTGCCTGCCGTTTTTGCGTTCCATTGTCAGTTCCTATCCCATCTCCCTCCTCCAGCCCCACTCCTCTCCTGACCTGCCGATCCATGCACCCTTTCTGCCTTCTGTCATCCATTCCTGTCACCCCTCCCTTCTCCAATTTTTCCTCTTCTCTGACCTGCCTACTTGTATACCATTCCTGCCTGCCATCATCCCCTCCTATTGCTCTTCTCCAGATTTTCTCTCCTCCTGTTCTGCCGGTCTACCTGCTGTTCCTGTTTCCCATCATGCCTTCCTATCAATCCTCCTCTCTCCAGTAGTTTGTTTCCCCCCTCGGTCTGCCGATCTCCCTGCTGTTCATGTCTTACATGATCCATTCCTGCCCCGCTTTCCTTCTCCAATATTTCTCCCCTCCCCCCGCCTGCCGATCTGCCTGCCATTCCTGCTTTCCATCGTTCATTCCCATCAATCCTTCTTCCTCCAATTCTCTATCTCTAACCTGCCAGTCCTGCCCTACGTCATCCATTCCTGTCAATCCCCCCTTCTCCAACCCTCTAACCTGTTGATTTACATATCGCTCCTGCCTTCCGTCAGCCATTCCTGTCGATGTTCTCCTCCTCAATATCCTTCCCCTCCTAGTCCGCTGCTCTACTTGCTGTTCCTGCTTACCCTCCTCCATTACTATCCATCTTCCCTTTTCCAATATCCCCCCCCTAATCTGCTGACCCGCCTGCTGTTCATCCATTTCTGTCCATCTTCTCTTCTCTAGTATTCCTCCTCCCTTAACCTGCTGTCCTACATGCTGTTCCCACATACCGACATCCGTTCTTGTTGGACTTTCCTTCCCAAGTTTTCCTCCCCCCCAGTCTGCCGTCCTGCATATTGTTCTTGCCAGCCCTTCTCCATTCCTGTCAGTCCTATCTTCTCTTGTTTCCTCCCCCCCTTTAATGCGCTGCTCTGCCTGCTGTTCCTGACTATCATCCTCCATTCTTACCAGTCTTCCCCTCTCAGACGTCCTTCCTCCCCCAATGGATATGCCCCCATTCCTACATGCCTCATCTTTTTTTCTTCTATTCTTTTCTCCCTCCCCTTCCCTTTTGATCAGTCCCATGGGGTCGGGCATTCCTCTCCCCCGTGTTCTGGGTCGTACGGTCAGATCTGCTACTCCCAAGACTCTTCCCTGGTCCCCTCCTCCTTGCAGTCCCTCATCATACCCACCTCCTCCCTCCTTAATACCCTTACCTGTCTCTGACTCTAATGCTTCCTCATCCATCCCTACCTTTACCATGTCTTTGGGATCCTCCCTATGCTTGGCCATGTAGTAAGTATCCCCCCCAGTCCTGATTTTGCCTCTGACAATCGGCATCCGGCTCTTAACATGCTCTTCATGTACTCTTAGTGCCTGATACGCCGGGGGCAATTCTACATATCGATTGATGGAGTCTATGTTGGAAAACCAGGTCTCCTTTAGTAGGCGTCCTCCCTTGGAGGCGTCCTGGGTGATGGCTTCTGCCTCCTTAAAATCGAATGAATGTCCGGTGTTAATCATGTGCATCCATATTTGGGAATACTGCTCCTGCCTTCTGACAGCCAATTTATGTTCATGTATCCTAGTTTTTATTCGTTTGGCTGTCTCCCCCGTATAGTTACACTGGCAATCTTTGTAGTGCACTCTGTATACAACCGATGATCTGTCTTCCTTCGGCAATGGCTCTTTGGGGCGCATAACTTTCATCCGGAGTGTTTGATCAGGCCGGTGGGCGACTTTAATGTTATAAGGTGCCAATATGTGTGCTGTTGCTTCCGATACTCCCTGGATGTATGGTATTGTTATCCAGGCCATTGCTCCTGGATCATTGGTGCCCTGCAAGGTTTTTGACGTTTACTATACCTCCGAATGAAGCTAGTTGGGTAGCCATTCCACTTACACACTTGATAAAGATGCACACGCTCCCTCTGCTTAGCCTTCCTGGTATTGCAGTGCGTGTCTATATGTGCAAATAATGTCCTTACGCATGAGATCTTATGGGCTGCTGGGTGATTGCTCATATAGTACAACATCCTGTCGGTGTGAGTGGCTTTTCTATACACCGTCGTATGGAGGGCACCATTAATTTGACGTGTAACCAAAACGTCTAGGAAGGCCAAGCTGCCATTGGCCTCCTCCTCCGCCGTGAATTGTATATCCGGGAATATTGAGTTAAGTTTCTCCATGAAGGCAGTTTTTCTTGCACATTTAACAATGACAAAAGTATCGTCCACATACCTGGCCCAAAACTCCGGTTGGTAGTCGGCCATGGCCCTGCTTTCCAAACGCTGTAGGACCGCCTCCGCGATGACACCCGAAATGGGAGATCCCATCGGCATGCCCTTGATCTGTTCATATATTGTTCCCTGGAATGTGAAGTACGTTTTCAAGCATAGCCGTAATAACCTGACAACATCTTCTATCCCAAGGGAACCTTGACTCCGTAGTCCTTTCAGTTGTAATAGATCTTTTATAGTCGTAATGGCCAATTCTTGCGGGATGGACATGAATAGCGATAATCATAATCTCATCATCCCGTATCCTCATCCTCTTTAATCTCTGTAGGAATTCTTGCAAGGATTTCACAGTGGCCGTGTTGTCCTCCACCAGATGTTGTAACCTTCGACTTAGCCATTTAGCCAGGCCGAACATGGGTGTGCCCCTAAGTGCCACAAAGGGTCTCAATAGTGTCCCTTCCTTATGTATTTTGGGGAGGCCATAAAATCTCGCCATAGCCGAGTCTCTTGGCCGTATAGCTCTCAGATCTTCTTCGTTTATTCCTCCACGTTTTTAAAGTCCATCTATGATCTTATTGAGTTGATTTTTCATGGACGTTGTGGGGTCTGTCCTAATTACTTTATAGGCACTGTTGTCATCCAGTAATGTCTGGGCCAGGGGTAGGCAACCCAAAACACTCAAAGAGCCACTTAGACCCATTTCCCACCGAAAACAAAACACTGGGAGCCGCAAAACCCTTTTGGCATCTAAAATGCAGATAACGCTGCATATATCCTTTTTTTTACCTTTGTGCTATGTATAAAAAAATTATAGTGTGTTGCATTTATGAAATCAATGAACTGCTACAAAGAAAACATTTTTTTATTTCTGCACTACATGCAAGAAAAACATTTCGAACTAAAAAAAAAGATGCTGGGTTGAAGGTTACCTTCAAGTAAAATACTGAATGTCTATTTGAGTCCTCCTCATATTTATTTATTAAATAAAAAGCCAAACTTAACTTATCCGCCTGCAGTAAACCCAAACGTTGTCTGCTTGTCATTGCGTCCATCCATCCACCCATCTGTCAGACCGCTCGTCTGTCCGCATATCTTCCCGCCCGCCAGTCCATCTGCCCATCCGTCTGATCGTCCGTCTGTCTGCCCGTCCATCCGTCTGCCCGTCCATCTGCCCATCTGTCCATCTGTCTGTCCGTCCATCCATCTGCCCGTCCGCCAGTCCATTTGCCCATCCGCCAGTCATCTGTCTGTACTGGAGCGTGCAGTCAGCTGACAATGAATTAAAAAAGAATTATTTCACTGAACGTCAAATATATATTTGCAAAATAATAGTCAATTTTTATTTCAACATGCAACAAAAAACATTTTGAACTCCAAAAAAGAAGACTTTGGGTTGCAGGTTACTTTCAAATACAATAACAGCTATTTGAGTCCTCCTCATATTTATGAAATAAAAAGCCAAACTTAACTTATCCGCCTGCAGCAAACCCAGAATGCTGTGCTTCTGTCATTCCATCCATTCTGTCCGCCCACCAGTCCATCTGTCTGCCTCTCCATCAGGCCATCTGCCCATCCCTCAGTCCATCTGCCCGTCCGTCAGTCTGTCCATCTGTCCGTCCGCCCGCTTGTCCATCTGTCTGCCTCTCCGTCAGTCCATATGCCCGTCTGTCAGTCCATCTGCCCGTCCGTCCACTCGTCTGTCCATCTGCCCATCCGCCAGTCCATCTGTTTGTCTGTATTGGAGCGTGCAGTCAGCTGTCAACCAATAAAAAAAGGACTATTTCACTGAACAGCACCAAATATATATTTGCAAAATAATAGCCAGTTAAAATATTTACTTTACCTGGTTAATGTGATTTTTGCTTCTCAACATCAGCACACAGCATCTGAACATCAGGGCTGTAAGACGTCACTTTCATCTTTAGACAAGATTGCAGGCTATTGTCTGTGAGGCGTGAACAATATTTGTTTTTAATGTAATTCATGTTTGAAAAGACCTGTTCACATACGTATGTGGATCCAAAGATCGACAGGATTCCAAATGCGTATTTTTTCATATTTGAGTAAGTGCTGGGGATGGCATTCCATGTGTCGTATATAAGTTTGTCCTGTTTGGGAAGGTTTTCAATGTCACTCCATTTGTGATTCAGCGCAAGATTGGCCTTCTGACGGGCAACATCTTCAAGATTATCTCTCAAGCGTTGGAATTTGGACACCCATATATCTTTGTCGGCTATGTCTGCAAGTTCCATCTCCAGGTCGGGTTGACTTACCCCTGCAAATGCAGTCATATTAAATGCAGATGGATCGCTGGTCAGGGGAGTGACAGGGAAAGATAATGTGGTTTTTTCCTTTCGGAACTCACAGAATCGCTTCCCAAATGATGTCTGCATTGCAATGATTGCAGACTGCAAATACTCTGAATTTATCGTATTGTCACCTTCTTTGAACTGTCGCAAAGAGGGGAAGTGAGACAGTGTACCTCTCTGTAAATCTCTGCCAAACACTGTCAACTTGCGCTCAAATGCCAAAACTTCCTCCAGCATGTGCAGGGCTGTGCTTCCTTTACCCTGAAGAATTGTGTTCAGTGTGTTCAGGTGTGCTGTCATATCAACCATGAAGTGTAGCTTTTCCAGCCACTCTGGTTGTTCCAGCTCAGGAAAGGTGAGCCCTTTGCTGCCCAAGAAAGTTTTCACCTCTTCCAGACATGCAGCAAAGCGTTTTAGCACCTCCCCTCTGGACAGCCACCGGACTTTGTTGTGCAGCAGGAGATCAGAATATGTGCTTTCCATCTCCTCTAGTAGCAAACGGAACTGACGGTGATTTAAACCTTGTGCCATTATTTTATTGACAATCTGAATGACAACATTCATCACTTCTGTGCATTCCGGAGGAAATGTTTGAGCGCACAACGCCTCTTGGTGAAGGATGCAGTGAAATGTTAGCAGCTTTCTACCCAGCGACTTCTGCAGTAAAGCCACAAAGCCCTTGTGTGCTCCTGTCATACTCGGTGCCCCATCAGTAGCCACTGACACCAGGTGGGTGGTGTTTATTTCATTGGTTCTTAAATAATCCAAAACAGCCTCACAGATGTCCTCTCCCCGTGCTTGGCCTTTTAGTGGTATCAACTCAATCATTTCTTCCTGTGGCCCAGCAGAGTTCACATATTGGCAGAACAGCGCTATTTGTTCAATATCACCTTTGTCTTTGGATGCATCACAGGCGATTGAGTATGCCACAGCTGAATTGATGTCGTTAATTTGCAGTCTGGTGATGTTTTCTGCCATTTTTATGGTTCGATCTTTGACAGTCTTCGCAGAGAGGCATCTCTCTGATTTTCTGCACAATTTCACTCTTGTTTTTGAAGTCCGAGAATAGATGTTCTGAAATCTTAATGAATGATTCCTTGATATACTCTCCATCTGTGAATGGCTTCCCATGTCTGACTATTTCCTGAGCGGCCGCAAAACTAGCATATGTAGTCGAATTTGCAGACTTCACCCACTTCTGAAAATGATTCTTGCTCAGATCAACCTTCCGCATCAACGGCTTTTTTTCTCTCATCTCCATCCGGGTATTTTTCAGCAAAGGCTGCGTGTTTATTCTGGAAATGTCTTGCAACATTTGACTTTTTGTTGTTTGCCAATTTCTCATTACATATTAAACATACTGGTAAACCAGTCTTGTCAGTTGTGAAAGCAAATGAATGTGCCCATGTATCATTAAACACTCTGTTTTCTTCTGAAATTTTTCTTTTCTTGCATGATTTATCCATGGTTGGCCTACTGGAGGTTGAAAAGCACAATAAATCTCATGCTGGCGGGTGTCACATATTGGCAGTTATAACCAGTACTGGGAATCAAATCATTTGACAATCAGTTCACAGCAACATTCCCCCACCACCACCACTTCCCCCCCTCCCCTGGTGGAGCAGTCCACTGCCACTGCTGCTTCCTCCCCAGGACGGAGCACTCCACCGCTGTTTTACCCAGTGGCGAGGGTGGAGTTTGGGAGCAATCCTGCTGTTGCACTTCCACTTCCTTCAACTATGATCCCCCCTCTCCAGCCAGCCAACTCTTCATGAATTTAACATGGACATTAAAATGTTTCAACACCTTTACCAATATCACAAAGAAAAGTTTAAGAACTTTAATTGTGCTTGATCAGGTTCACTCATTTTCCTCCAGTCACTCTCTTTGCATCTCTTACCCACTTCATCACCCCCTGAAAGCCAGAGGACTCATAATGAGTCCTACAGAGGATCCTGCAATCTAATCTGAGCTGTCATAATCTTTTTTTATAGCAGGTTATGCTCTATCTCTCTTTGTCCATCTCTGTCTCTCATTACAATGTTCTCTGTTTTTCAAATATTTTTATTAAGGATTACAAAGGAAAAGAGTAAAAGCCGGTGCAAACAATAAAAACCACAAATAGAAAAATAGAAAAGAAAACAAATGGGGGGGGAGAGAAAAGGACAGGAGAAAGAGGGGAAAAAACCCCTTTTTCCTTCATCCCAACAGGTAAAAACAATTTTAGCAGCTAATCTACCATATTTAAATACAGCATAATTATCCCCATATTTCATCTCTTAATTAAACAAACATCACAATAGTTCATTAAACATTCTTTACTAAAAGTCTAGTAAGGACAACAACATATATTCACATTCTCCTCCTCTCTCTCTCTCTCTCTCCCCCCCCATCTCCCTCCCCCTCCCAGCAGAGCACTTACTTGGAAAGTAGGACAAGGACCTGCAGAATTAACCAACCGGCTTTCTTTTCCTTTATTCAGAAAAGTATTCCAGCAGTGTTCAACAAATCACTGTAAAGAGACGAATACCTTCTTGTTAAGCCATTTTATTTGGATGAGTTGGATTTGTGTTGTTAAGTGAGACATTTAATGAGTTTTGCCCCATTTGTGACCTTTCTTACCACCGTTGCTAAGTGAATTACTGCAGTCAATAAGTTAGTAATCAGGATCAGAAAGTGGAAATTACACATTGCAACTAAAACGGCTTGTAGTTCCCTGTGCGATGCAAGACATATGATATTCAAGGGTGCTCCTGAAGAAAAGGCTGTATGCAGGTAGAAAGGGTTGTATTCCAGTAAGGGGGTGAAATGTTTACAATAAGCTCCTGCATATAGAATAGAATAGAGCTGGAAGGGACCTTGGAGATCTTCTACTCCAGCCTCCTGCTTAAGCCTGTGCAGACAAGTGGGGGTCTTTAAATAGTCATGTCCACTTTTCCCCCTTTTTTCCTATTTTTTGCAACGACCAGTTGCAGACATCCACATGTGTATGCATGTCAGGTTTGGAAGCCTCCCTTTAAGTCTGTGCGTGTGCACAGACATACACTGACTTAGGAGTGAAAACACTGCTGGTAGATCTTGTGGGATTTTTGCATGCAGTTTACTTGTGTGCGGGGGGGGGGGGGAAGCAGGAAGCGCGGAGCAGTCAGTCAGAGTGATTGTTTTCTTATTGAGAGAGGGAGAGAGAGAGAGGGAGGGGGGAAAAAAGAAAGAAAGAAAAAGAAAGAAAGAAAGAAAGAAAGAAAGAAAGAAAGAAAGAAAGAAAGAAAGAAAGAAAGAAAGAAAGGGAAGACAAGAAAGGAAGAAGAAAGGCAGGAAGAATATGGGAAGGAAGGTAAAAAGAGAAAGAAAGAAAACAGGAAGGAAGGAAGAGGAAGATATAACCTTCAGCAAAGCAAAGTCCCTGCAAAAGAAACACATTTGCATACAAGCAGCTCCCCCCTCAGCCTCGCTTGCAAAGACCTTGCCCTGCCTGATGAGGCCCTTTACAACCGGAGCAGTGGACACGGTAAAGGCTTTCCATGGAGCAGGGAATTCCCAAGAAGCCTTTTGGAGCCTAGCCTCCCCCCCCCCAAGCCCTTCAGCCGAGTGAAGCCGGGGCCGTTTATAACGGCAGCAGCGGGCATAATAAAGGCTTTGCTTGGAGCAGGGAGTTCCCAAGAAGCCTTTTGGAGCCTAGCCTCCCCCCCACCAAGCCCTTCAGCCAAGTGAAGCCAGGGCCGTTTATAACAGCAGCAGCGGGCATAATAAAGGCTTTGCTTGGAGCAGGGAGTTCCCAAGAAGTCTTTTGGAGCCGAGCCTCCCCCTCCCCAACCAAGCCCTTCAGCCGAGTGAAGCCGGGGCCGTTTATAACGGCAGCAGCGGGCATAATAAAGGCTTTGCTTGGAGCAGGGAGTTCCCAAGCAGCCTTTGGGAGCCGAACCCCCCCCCCCATGAAGCACTTGGACCGGGTAATAAGAAGCCGTTTTGAAAAGGGCCTACTTACCTTTCTTGCAGTCTGTGAAGACTGAAGAGAGAGAAGAGGTTTGTGGGCAGTCCCACAAACGGCTTGTGGGCAGTCCCACAAACCAAAGAAGTTCGTCCAATGAATTCAAACTTCACAAGTTTTTTTTTTCATGAGAAGTTTGAATTGATTGGTTGAACTTCTTTAGACCCTTTTTTTTTGAAATGCACATGGGCTGGGAGCCGCAGGAGACTGCTCAAAGAGCCGCATGCGGCTCCAGAGCCACGGGTTGCCAACCCGTGGTCTGGGCCTTGCCATTATACGTGGCTCTGTGATGTATGTTCTTCTATTTGAGACCTAACGGGGAGGGGGGGTCTGGATGGTAGTCCATGGCACCTGATGAACTTCATGGGGTAACCATTGTGCCTGCACACCTTAAAAAGGTGCTTCTTTTCTTCCGTGCTAGCCTTAGCAGTGTTGCAGTGGAAGCCTACTCTTTTGAAGAGTGTTCTAATGCAGCTGGCCTTGTGGGCTACTGGATGGTTGCTATCATAGAGCAGAATTCTATCTGTGTGCATGGATTTGCGGTAGACCCTGGTCCTCAGGGTTCCATTAGGTTGGCGATGGACCAGGACATCAAGAAATGCCAACTCACCCTGGTGCTCTTCTTCCGTAAACTGCAAATCCACGCACACCGAGTTAAGTATGCCCACAAAGCCAGCTTTTTGGCTCCTCTTAATGATGACAAATGTATCGTCCACGTAGCGAGCCCAGAATTTAGGACAACACTGGGTCATCGCTATGTGCTCCAATTGCTGTAACACTGCCTCCGCTACGATGCTGGAGATCGGTGACCCCATGGGAGTGCCCTTAACCTGTTCAAAGGTAGTGCCCTGGAATGTGAAGTATGTTTTTAGACATACTTCTAATAGATTTATAAGGTCCTGAGGCCGAAGATGGTCCTGCTGATAACCTGAACCCTTTTTCTCAAGAAGGTCTTTTATCGTCTTGATGGCCAGATCTTGTAGGATAGAGGTGAAGAGGGAGACAATGTCAAAAGACACCATTACCTCATCATCCTCTATCCTCAGAGACCTGATCTTGTCAAGGAATTCCTCAGCAGATTTAACGGTAGTAGAACTACCTTCAACCAAATGACTGATGCGATTGCTCAGCCATTTGGCAAGGCCTGAGGTCGGAGTGTCCCTAAATGCCACAATAGGGCGAAGGGGGACACCCTCCTTGTGGACCTTAGGAAGGCCATGGAATCTGGCCATTGCGGTGTCACTAGGGTGCAGCTTTTTAAGAGTGACATCATCAAGCCTCTTACTACGTTTGAGGTTGTTAAGTAATTTATTAGTATGGTTTTTAAGGGCCGTCATGGGGTCAACGTCTACCACTCTATAGGCTGTAGTATCGTTGAGCAGGCACAATGCTTTACCAATGTATTGCGCTTTGTCCATAATGACAGTAGCCCTCCCTTTATCTGCTGGCATTATAAGGATGGTGTCATCCTTTTTGAGCTGGTTTAAAGCCTCTACTTCTTTCTTAGATAAGGTTTGGTGGCCCCTATGATTCATAACCAAACCTGTGACCTGTTGTCTGATGGCGTTTCTTGTCTCCTCTCCCACTCCAATGCGGTGTATGGCTGGTTCTAGAGCTGCAACGAAGTCCAAGGGATGGGCGTCCCTGAGATTACATCCCGCATCTCGTTGTAGGAGGGTAAGTTGGGGCTGAGTCAATGTCTTATTAGACAGATTATGCACCAGTCTTTCTGAGGGATTGTAGCCATTCAAATTATGTAGTCTCTCAGTCCTATGCTGAAATTTCTCCGTCGCCCATTGGCTTGTAATCTTAGCCATGGAGTGGATATGTTGGTCTAGCACAGGGGTAGGCAACCCAAAACACTCAAAGAGCCACTTGGACCCTTTTCCCACCAAAAACAAAACACCAGGAGCCGCAAAACCCTTTTGATATCTAAAATGAAGATAACACTGCATATATCCTTTTTTACCTTTATTATAGGTGTGTGTGTGTGTGTGTGTGTTTGTGTGTGTGTGCGTTTGTGTGTGTGTGTATATATATATATATACACACACACACAGGTAAAAAAAGGATATATGCAGTGTTATCTTCATTTTAGATGTCAAAAGGATCTCTCTCTCTCTCTCTCTCTCTCTGTTTCTCTCTCTCTCCCTCCTTCTCTATCTGCCCTTGGTCTGCCACTCCTCTTCCCCCACTCTCTTTCTTTCTCTCTCTCTCTCTTTCCTCTCTCTCTCTCTCTCTCTCTCTCTCTCTCTCTCTCTCTCCCCCCCCCTCTCCTATCTGCTGCTCACCTGCCAAGCTTCAAGCTGTTGTCCAACAACCTCAGGGGTAGGCAACTCGTCTCTTTTATGACTCATGGACTTCAACTCCCAGAATTCCTGAGTCAGCCTAGCTGGGCTAGCTAGCTCTCTCTCCTGCCCTTCCTGCTTCCTGCTTCCTGCAGAGACGCAGCAAAGGAAGGAGCTCTGCCCAATAAGCTTTTCAGCTCCTCGGAGAACACTGTGAATGCACTCTCTTTTACACATACACACAGACACACACACAAAAACACAAACACACACACACAGAGAGAGAGAGAGAGAGAAGCAGGGAAGCGCAATTGCCTCTCTCTGTCTCTGTCTCTCTCTGCAAAGGCAGAGGAGGCTGGGAGCCACAAGGGAAGGCTCAAAGAGCCGCATGTGGCTCCGGAGCCGCAGGTTGCCGACCCGTGGTCTAGCATAAAGAAAAGCCGACTCACGAGTATCCTCTGGCAACATTCTCGATGATTCTGAATGTTCCTCATCAAGCCATCAATACGTCTATGTAGGTCGTTTATGAGTGCTCGTATGGTTCGATGTTGGAACCGCCGGAGTGCCTGACGACACTCAGTAGAGTCAATAACGAGTTTCCTCCTCAACGACCTGGGTGGAAGATTTTCCTTGATACAATTATGCAGGAATGTTAGCTTGCAATAGTTATTGGCAACACGGCGTGCAAGCTTTTCCCATCTTCTGGCTTCGAGCAGAACTGCTCTATTATAATTATTTTTAAGAGTATTAAAAACAAAACAGTGATTCCTGGGTAGATTCATGTTAAATAATAAAATATACGAACACCAGGAAGTTATAAAACTATAAAAAGTTTTAATAGAATAAAACCAAGCTTTCGCTGGCTTCTGCCAGCATCATCAGGGTAGCGTCCAGTCGATGGGAAAAGCTATTTATAAATGTGGCGCTCTTTGCACCCGGCTTCTTGACCTCGTCATAGGTCCCAGCCAATCCACCTGTGTTTTGATCGTAGTTTCTGTATTGCAAGCTGTAATTTCCTCACTTTCCTTGCTTGTGCCGATACCACAGCTCTTCCTCCCTTCTTCGTATAACTGTAAGTCGGGGGGGACCCTTTAATTCTACGTAATTAAATGTGCACTGTCTGTGTTTATGTTGTTTATTCCCCCCATCCTCCCTCTTAGTATTCTCTATTTTCGTTCTCCTCCCCCTATCTCTCTGTCTACAATCCTCCTTCACAACTATATCCTCATTGTTCGTCTCCATAGCCCAGGATTCCATTGTGTTCTTATCATCCTGTTTCCCGATCTTTCGTATCGCTTTGTTAACTCCCCTTTCTATATTCTCTTCAACGGGGGTAATTTTAACATCCTCCCCGGAATTCGTGGCACCCACAAGTTGATTGTTAACCCTTTTTCTCGAGGGGGCTGTCCCCTCACAGTTATACGAAGAAGGAAGAGCTGTGGTATCAGCACAAGCAAGGAAAGTGAGGAAATTAGAGCTTGTAATTTCTGGGGGATGCCTTCCTTTATGGATTTTTGGGAGCCCATAAAACCTTGCAAACGCCGTATCGCATGGGCGCACTTTCCTTAGGGTATCATCTCCGATTTTCTTACTGCGCTTGAGATTGTCTAGCAGTTTATTGATTTTATTCTAAAGTGTAACTGAGGGATCTTTCTCAACTATTCTATAGGCTGCTCAAGCGCCTTGGTGGTATATAGCGTCCTATCCATGATAACAGTCACTCTCCCTTTATCTGCAGGGAGTATAACGATGTCCCCATCTCTTTTAAGCTGCCCTAAGGCTTTAATTTCATCCCTGGACAATGTACGATGGTATCTGTGGCTTGTAAGCAGCC